AAAAAAAAAAACCCTTTAATGCCACCTTAAGGTAATTTTTTTTCCTTTTAAATCCTTTCTTATTATATGATTCACACGCACATTCTTTAATTTAGTTTAACCGAATTTCTTGAGCCCGATGAATCCAATTGCTTATAAGAACAAAATTAGTCATAGGCGTAGGAAATTTACCCAAATACACACGATCTAATTAATCAAGCAAAATATAAAATAGTTTAAACAAGTTGATATGTTTAAAGTTTAACCCATCTAATTTTAGCGGATAGATAAGCCAATATAAGTTTTAACGCATTATGGCATCCTACAAAGTACAAACTATCATTTACCAATGCAAAAGTCTCGCTGTAGTCAAACATGTCTTGTATCACTCAATAGACTCATCTATTTTAATTTGAGAATGTTTTTACAACCAATGGACTTATTGTGGCCCCGTGCCTACATAATTTCCATTTAATGTTATGTCAAAGAGGTAATAAAGTCAATACTCAAGTTATTTTGAAGAAATAATTTTTTAACTTTTATTAAAATTTTGAGATAATTATTTAAAAAATAAGCTATTAGTTATAAGAAATAAGTGTTTCTCAACACTCATTATGATTATTATCAGAGAAAACTTAGTCCCACATTGGTTCAGCCCAAGCTAATTTTCACATAGCTTAGTAGCTTAGTCCCACATTGGGCACATTACACATTTTTCATTTTTCACTCTCCTATATAAAGGAAGTTGTATCACCTCTTTCTATATGAAAAATTCAAATTAATTTTAGCAAGTTTTATACAAAATGCTTCCAATTTATATTTTAGATTTTCTGTTATGGTATCAAAGCTCTTGATCTTAAGAGCTCTAGTGATTCTTCGCTGCTATGGCTAGGGAGAATAACAATTTCAATGGAGGAGGAGGCGCAGGATCATCTGTCACGCTTCCACAAAATCCAGCACTTGATCCTTTGAGTGTGTATTACATACATCCTGGTGAGAATCCTTCCATGACTTTAACTACTCCTCTACTTTCGGTCAAGAACTATCATAGTTGGGCCAGAGCCATGAAACATTCACTCATATCCAAAAACAAATTCAAATTCGTCAATGGCACAATGCAAATGCCTACCAGTTTTGATCCCAGCTTTGATGCTTGGGAGAGGTGTAACAATCTTGTTTTGTCTTGGATTTTTAATTTTGTGGAACCACAAATCGCACAAAGTGTTGTATATTTGGAGAATGCAGTTGCTGCTTGGAAATTGCTAAAGACTCGCATTGCTCAAGAAGACAGAGTGAGGATCTTTGAGCTACAACAAGAATTAACATCAATGAAGCAAGGTAGTAACTCAGTGACACAATATTTCACAGAGATCACCATCTTGTGGGAAGAACTTGACAATTACAGGCTTCTTCCTGACTGCACATGTGTTGTTGCATGCCTCTGTGAGACAGGTAAAAATGGTAAAATATACAAAAATGAAGACTACATAATGAAATTTCTTAGTGGCTTGAATGATGAGTTTGAGGTTGTAAAAACTCAAATCCTCATGATGGAGCCATTTCCAGATATAGACAAGACTTATTCACTTGTTATTTAACATGAGAGAAGGCTCAACTCTGGTTCTAGTGGTAATATAAAGGAAACGCAAGTTTTCATCAATGCAACAGAAAAAAAAGGCCTTTTGGTAGAGGTAGAGGAGGTTATAATGGTTCTGCTGGCAGAGGAAACTTCAAAATTTGTAGCTATTGTGGGAAGACAGGACATACAGTGGAAGTCTATTATAAGAAACACGGTTATCCAGAAGGCTCTAGAGGGAAGAATTATAGTTCAAATCATGTTATTGGTGAAGGTTTGGACAACTCAATAGAGGAACAACAGACAATAAAGGGCGATGATGCATCAGATCATGTGTCCTTGACTAAAGAGAAATATCAAAACATCATGCATTTGCTTCAACAATCAAACATCTCTGGTAATACCTTAAACAATCAAATAGCTGCCGTAAGTTCCACCCATTCTATGCCTAAAAAATCACAAACCACTTCCATTTCAGGTAAGTCCTTTGTCTTTTCTCTTCATACCAGTAAACATAATGTTTGGATATTGGATTCTGGAGCATTAGATCATATATGCTCAGGTAAATCACTCTTCACTTCCTTAGAACCTCTCACTGGTCATTCTATTACTGTTAAACTCCCTAATGGGAACACAGTTGTATTTCATGGAAGTTTCCAAGCATCAGACACACTAATCCTTTGCCTATCTGAATTCCAATACCTCACACTAATCCTTCTCTTATAGATTCTGCTAACCCCATAACTCCACTTTCTCCATCAGACAACAACCCTCCTTCTAACCATTCACAATTAAACACCTCACTCACACCCCTTTCCTCTCCAACAGTTAATTCACCTTCTGCACCACCTGTCAGAAAATCCACCAGACACAAAACCAAACCATCCTACTTGCAAGACTATCAATGTAATTCATCCATCATTCCTTAGTAGCATCAGTCAGGTAGTTTCTATCCTATTCTGTCTTTTGTTTCTCTAGCTAGTTTATCCCCTTCACATGCCATTTATAGCTCTTCTCTTGACCACCATCATGAGCCTACCTCTTACCACGAAGCCAGTAAGCATGATTGTTGGAAGCAAGCCATGGCTGCAAAGATCACTACTCTTGAGCTCAATGGCACTTGGTCCTTGGTGTCTCTCCCACCTGGAGTTATTCCTATAGGAAACAAATGGTTATACAAAATAAAAAGGAAATCTAATGCACTACAAGAATTTCGCGGATTAGCGAGGGATATAAATCCAAGCTATTTCCTCGCTAATTAGCGAGGGACTGGCGAGGAATACAATTCCTCTCTAATCCCTCGCTAATTAGCGAGGAAATAGCTTAGATTTATATCCCTCGCTAAATTCCCTCGCTAAATAGGATCATTTTGCGACCAACCTTCATCTCCTCGCAAATCCGTCGTTAAAGTTAGTGCTTATTTAGTGAGGAACCTAGGCCCTCGCAAATCTCCGCAAAGCCCTCGCCAAATTATGAGCCAAAATATAAAAACGAATTTTTCATCTAGCGAGGGAGTTTTCTTGTCGCAAATCCCTCGCTAATGAGTTATAAGTATAGCCCTCGCAAATCCGTCGTAAATTAGTGAGGGAAAAGGTTTTTCGCTAATCCCTCACAAATAAGTGATTTCGTTGCTAGTAGAATTTGAAATTCAAGTATTTTTAAAATTTCTTGAAATAGTAGAATTTCAAATTCTCCCAAAAAAGTAAGAATTTGAAATTCCTCATTTTTTTTTCTTTTTATTTTACTTATATATATTTTATCTTATTTGTTATCTCTTCATTTTTTTTAATTATTGAGTATTTTTAAATATTTTTAAAATTATTAAATATTATCTAATATTAATTTT